TTTCCGTATTGCGGCCTCCGCATACGTCAGTCAGCGCGCAGCTCTAGCCAGCGCCTCCGAAAAATAGAGGTGCTGCTGCTGCTCAAGCCCATCGGGGAGGCCACGTTTACAACAAAATCCAAGCACGAGACGCGCAGAGTTACCCATGTTGCTGTCCGAACTTCTTTCATAGCTTCTCCAGCATTGCACTTGATGTATCAAACGGAGTTTAACCCCCGTAATCAGAAACGCTATTTTACTTGAACTTGACTTGAAACCGCCTTCAATGCAGTGCGTTCGCAACGCGTTTGTGCTGCCTTGGCACGGCCGAGAAACAGGGCGTTCGAAACGCGTTTTGTGCTGCATGGAAGTCGGTGGCAAGTCAAGATCAAGTCAAGCAGCATTTCTGAATACGGGGGTAAGGCGTGTATTCCTTCGTCTATACACCCTGTCAATCATTATCACTGCACGAGCGGCTTGAGATGTCGAAATAAAGGCGTTTTTCGACGTTATAGTGCTGCACGCTTTTACTTGCTCCGCAGAAGCGCATCCGCCCCCCCCCCCCCCCCCATTCCTCTGGCCCACAGTTAGGGGTTGTCGCTGGATTGAGATCAAATATTGCCGAAGAAGCGCAAACCACATGATATTAGTATTTCCTTTAATTGATTAGGCAAAAAAAGGCAAATCCCACGTATCTTGGGAATCAACGTTGATCGAAGCATACGGAGGGAAGGTGACTGTGTTGTAATTTTTTTTTATTGAGCGACACGTTATGAAATCACCTTAACATATGTGCAAATGGTGAACGCTCCGACATATGTTTAAGAGTTGCAGATGTTTATATAACCAGTTTTTTCGCACTTGCGCAACGATGCCAACAGGAACATGAATATCAGTAACACCACAATCGATAAGGTGATATGAAACGCTGGTGCTCGCGAGGATGGTAGCCCTGGACACTGCTAGATAAATCAATTTCAGCGCATGACACCTAACCACAATTGACGTTAATCCGACGTGACGGCTGTATCATAGGAGTACATATGTAATATACATAAAATTGGATAGCCAGCACTGCAAGCACAACTGACGTTTAAGGAATATTAGCGTCTGTTTGAAAAGTAATTCCGAGACCTGGCGTGACTCTGTGACAGAATGCTTGATTGCCACGCAGAATGCTTGATTGCCACGCAGAATCCTTGGGCTTGATTCCCGTTGGGATCATGACATTTATTCTTTGCATTCCGTCGGGTCAACGATGCAGATGTCAGGTTTCGCTCAATGTTCACGCGTTAAAATTACCCAAGCCTGTTGTCGTCGTTCGGCCGTGAATACTAATGACGTCGTCCATTGGCAGATCTGGAACACTTCCGGCAATACCTTCTGCTGCTCCACGTGGAGCGAGTCTATTCCATTGGCAGATTGAGATTGATTGCTTGATTGATTGATATGTGGGGTTTAACGTCCCAAAACCATCATATGTTTATGAGAGACGCCGTATAGTGGAGGGCTTCAGAAATGTTGACCACCTGGGTTTCTTGAAGTGGCAGATTGAGAGCGCTCCCTGTATGTTCCATTGGCAGATATGGAGCATCTCCGTCGCGAGATACACTACGGAGCAACTTTTCTTACACTGAAAAAAAATCAGCAGATTCAACCGAAAATCGCAAGCCTTGAAACCTCTTGAAACGGTGTCAACTTTGGGCGAGCCAACGGATAGTGGTCGCGTCAGTTGCGCCTCGTATCGTAGCTCATGTTTTGATAGCGTAGCACCACTATGGTCAGCGTGCCCACTCATGCGAGAAGAGGGACGCGCGCATTGCGTTCCATTCTGACCTGGCCAATTGCTCCAGAGGGAGCGCGTGTGTTTCATTGGTATATTCCATTCTGTTGCCCTCCGCCAGGGTGGAGTGCCCAAGCGCAGAGCTCATCGGCTACTCCGAACCTGCCAATCGATGACACCATAAGTGTAATCGATTGTGGCACATACCCGTGGCACATACCCGCCCGCGGGTGTGTGCCACTGTCTGGCGGGAAGTGTTTGACGACTCGACGGGATTGTGACATAATTGATGTTTTGACCAGCGCGTCATATTCGTCAAACCATCGTATACCTTCCCATACTCATTTTGGTTGACGCCATGACAAGTTAAGTCTGCACGGCGGGCTTGTTGGTTATCCATAGTACCTGAGGTATAGCGCATCCAGGACGGGACAGAGAAGACACACAGCGCTGTGTGTGTGTTATGTGTCTTCTCTGTCTTGTCCTGGATGCGCTATGCCTAAGATGCCAAGTGGATTGATATGTGTGGTTTAGCGTCCCAAAACCATATCATTGAGAGACGCCGTAGTTGAGGGCCCCGGAAATTCCGACCACCCGGGGTTCTTTAACGTGCACTCAAATCTGAGCACACGTGCCTACAGCATTTTTGCCTCCATCGAAAATGCAGCAGCCGCCGCCGCCGCCGGGATTTGATCTCGCGACCTGCGGGTCAGCAGCCGAGTACCTTAGTCACTAGACCACCGCGGCGGGGAGATGCCATATTAAGGGGTTGTGACGAGGGCATCCTGACGTAAGCGATTAGATAGATACATAGGTAGACGTCAGAAGTGCTCGCAATAAGCAAAGGAATGCTTCGCATTTAAAAGATACGAACATGCCTGCGGCGGCTGCGTTTCCGATGGAGGCGGAAACGTTGTAGGCCCGTGTGCTCAGATTTGGGCGCACGTTAAAGAACCCCAGGTGGTCAAAATTTCCGGAGCCCTCCACTACGGCGTCTCTCATAGTCATATGGTGGTTTTGGGACGTTAAACCCCACATATAAATAAATAATAAAAAAGATACGAACATGACCACATCGCACATATATGTTTCTTGCCGCCCAGCGAGCGCGAGTTCTCTCGTGCCAGCTCCTCGTTCTCTTCTTTATTCACACTTCTTTTAACGGCCCAAAAGTTTCCTCGTAATGCATGGTTCTTTAGCTCCTTCGTGGGCGTCCATAGTCGCTAGCAAACCACCCATACACCGGAGCAAAAACGCACGCGGAACCAAACAGCGGTGTTAAAATACATATGCATGTCCACCGCTAACGCGAGGGTACCTAAATAGCCTCACTGGGGCAAATGTACGCCATCGGAAGCCAAAAAGGGCCAACAACTCTTGGTAGAAGCCTAGGCAGGGTTCAGACCAAATCCATTCGCAGGGTGTTTAATGAAGTTTTGATCATAACTGGAAACCACAGTTCATTCATTAAAATGTCCTTCTTGAAGTAAAAATAACCGGCTGTTTGTCTACCATAGGCGTAACCGGGAGGTGGGGATTCAACCCTGTTCCACGTATATATATTCATATATATAACACCGCCCCCCCCCCCCCCAAAAAAAAAAACTCTGGCCACGACCCTGTTCTTTACCTTGACAGTAATCATCGACGTTTGTCGCACAATATTTCGATCTGTTTCTCTGAAGAAAAACCTAACAAAACGAGAAATGCTACGTAAGGCTGAGTGTATTTCCAAAAGTATATGTATGTCCCATACGTTGTGAAAACCCTGCTAATGTATAACTCTCTATCACGGGGATCCTGCTGCAATTAATATAGAGAGAACAGGAGTAAGCAGCAGCGAATGCTTTATGCTCTGCTCTACTGGCTATCTCGCCTATGGGTTAATGTCCTCACAAATTGCTTTGTTTTCAGCAAATAGCGCTTTTTTTGTCAGTCTATGGAGCAAACGAGACAGAAAGCGCAGCTATTCTGATAAGGCAGAACATTTGGTTAGTGGCACGCAAGAGTCACGAGCGCCTGGCTTTTAATCTCGAGTTGGATGTCACCTGCTTCAACTACACAGTTTTCAACTTATCACCAAACCATAACACTTTCGAAACTTCATTGTTTTTGTTATCAAGGCTGGAGCACATGGCAATCACGTGGCCGCGCGATTACAATTGCCTTCACCATTGAGTACACCCACCGACTCGAAAGCAAGACCCGGCCCAATTCCTTGCATATTGATCAGCAATACGTGCACCAAACAAATGCTAATCTCAAATGTAACTTAGAAGTGTGGCAGCTTGGGCTAGTTGGTACGGCATGACGATAGTTATAGCGCGAGAACAAAACGATCGACGTTCCTTCTCGGACAAAGCCCTCCGTGGCTTTGTCCGAGAAGGAACGCAGGTTCCTCGAAGGTTTCGGTGCGGGCAGGTAGTTATTTTATTTTCACCTTTCTGTTTCGTTTTCTTCTAGGTTTTTTCTTTGCTGTTTTTCAGTGCCTTTGTTTTTGTGTTGTTTGTTTTTGTTTTTCTTACTCACGTTCTGCTCTTTGTGCCATATGGTTTTTATCACATGGTTACTGTCTCCTCTATATATTTTCGTGCTCTGCGCAATAAACTCGGTTGGAAGTTAGGGCTCGTGTCTTTCGTGTCCTTCTTGTCTCTGTGTCGTCGTTTTGTTCTCGCGCTATAACTATCGTCATGCTAATCTCAAATACGCATTTGTTTAAGCAGACCATGTAAAAAGCCCCAAAAGCAATGCCCCCCCCCCTCTCAACGTACACCATTGAGCAAATGCACGGAACTTTAAGCACTGAACTTAATTGACGCCCATTTGACGCGATCGCATTCACAGTGCGCTTCCCTGCTGCAGTCACGCGGGCAGCAGGCAAGCCTTCGCTCATGCTCCGCAGCGCAACAGCACGTCGGAGTGGAAGGCGCATCCGTCCATGGCTTCTTCGCACTTTTTCCCGCGACGCGACCTGCCGAGTGCGGAGCTTTTTTTTATCACCAATTCCCGGTACTCACGTTTCTGTCGCCCATGCTCACGTGCCCGGTGATCATGATAAGTGCTCGTAAAGTGGGCCGAAAAAGCTGTAAACGGTGTTTGCACTCCTCGCTCCCTCCGGAGACTGCGAAGATGGCTGGGCCACATGCACTCCGGACGTCAAATTGGCCCGACAGTCGGGCGCTGGCGTTTCTTTAGTCATCGCACCTCTGACGAAAGATACTGTCTCCCGAATCTGCAGGGCGGGCAGCTGGTCTAACGCTGGTGTCCCATGGCAGCATGTCGCGGACTCGCGGGAACACTCGGCCGCAGCCACCGAGCCAGCGCTGCTGCTGCTGCTGACACGCGCCGCTGAGACGGGACCTCGTACTAGCTGGTCACAGTAAGTGCGTCTTTTCCTTTCCTGCCAGAATAGTGTGAACAGCACATCCGCGCAGTCGTAACATGCAGCGCTTCCATACGCGCTGCCTGATACCACGCACCCCAGTGCAAGCGCACGGTGGGAAGCATGGATCCGCGAGAAAATTCCTCCGAGATGAATTACGAGACTGGCACAGGAATGTGCGTTGCTGAATCTCGTGCCATATCTCACGTGCAGTCATGGGCACGTTACAAGTAATAAGTTAGTGTTGCAGTTACTGAAGCCAAAAAAGTAACTCTGTTACAGTTACCGATTTTCTAAAAGTAACTTGTTACAGTTACAGTGAAAAAGTAACGTCGTTACTTTTCTGTTACTGTAAAAAATTGATTACAAAACAAATGATACATTTTAATTAATAAAGACTTAGGAAGGCATGCAGGTAGTGAAAGTTGCATGTGGTAACACCTTAGAACGATGCTGCACAAGGCCATAGTTTTGACCTAAACACTGTGTGTGTGTTCGGGGGGGGAGGGGGGGAGAGGCTTTTGGAAACGTGGTTCATTCGCTACGACGCACACCAGCTTGCAACAGCAACCCGCGGCCCTCTACCGAACGTTCAAGGACATGTGTGACTAATGAACTGATCGACCTCCGCTTATTTTTATTTTTGCCCGCGTCTACTGTGGATATCACCTGCATAGGAAGCGAAAGGTCAATCACTTTGTTAAGAATTGTTGGTTTAACTCGAAGTAGAGCTTTCACAATCAGTTATAAACCCGTTTTAAATGCTTCAGGCTTTCAGCAGTTTCATGCTGCTGTTTTCTGGTCACCTGTCAAACGCGACTTGCTGGAAGCCTCAGACGGAGGAATGCCCCTCCGGCATACCAAAAAAAAGAGATTTAAGCTGAAGTTACAAAAAGGATGTACGTATTCCCCTTCCCACCCCACCCCAACTACCCCCCCTCCCCCCCAAAAAAAGCGGGTGGGGGGGTTGCACGCGAGGCAAGGTGTTCAGTGGCAACATTATTGATTTACGACATGTAGTTTTACGAATAAACATACCCTCCAGACACACTTCACTTCAAACCAGCCTGATAGGTCTTTATCAAATATGTTTACCTTTAGACACGTAGTATACAAGATATTTCTCTTAGCGACCTGTTCTCTTAAACTGCGATGGGAGCCGTGGAAAGTCGAAAGGTGGAGAGGATATTGTAAAGAATAAAGTTCGAAAAAAATGAAAAGCGTGTAACGTCGGCCTTCAACGAGTGTGGCTGTTGGATGATTTTTTACAAAAAACAGAAGTAACTGTAACTGTATTTTTCGTTACAGTTACTCAGTAAAAAAGTAAGTGTTACAGTTACAAGTTACCTTAAAGTTAACTAGTTACCGGTAACACATTACTAGTAGCTAGTTACTGCCCAAGACTGCAAACGTGGCTACACGACGGTGTGCTGTCGGCTGCGTGCCTTTCCTTCGCAATCACGCTCCCGCGAACACATTTTTGTTGAGTAACATGCTGAATTCGCCTGTGCACCCTGCCCCTGTGCGAACTGAATTGGTCGCTACAGCCCCATTCCTATATCGTAATCAATGCAGTTGCTTCAGCGTGTGCTGCAATTATCCTTGCCTCATTGTGGCCCAACATGTAATGTCAGCATAAAAAAGCCTTAAATTAGAAAAAAATGGGAATTTTCCGTATCTATCCAAATGCGATATAAACGTGTGCTCAAGCAGACATGATGTACTTAATCGTGTCGCCGATTTTCCAGCAATAGCACACCTCCTGATCCCTTTAATTCTAGATAAATGGACATGGTCTACCGCTCATTTTTCTGCAGCAGGCCTGCGACAATGCATTGGTCGAAATTTACCTTGAGAACTAAGCAGAGAAAAGAAGTCTGTGAATGTGACCTTTTGGACAGAAAACAACTTTGCAGTAAAGCCACCTTGCGTATTTCTGCAAATGGTCAATAGTTCACTATAATATTGTTAGCTCTAAGAACATTTAAAATGGGAAGCAATCTCAAAAACTCCGCCAAGTTATTGAAAAAGTACTGTCAAAAGCGGTCTGAAGACAAGCAAGGTCATTTCGCATATTCTTTTGTTACGGAGAGAATCTTTCAGAAGTAATGGAAAATTCAGTTTAAAGTAGCCATCTGAAACCACCACGTTTTCTGCAGACTACGTACACTATGCAAGCACGGCAACGCTAAGTAACATAAATGGAGGGCATTGGCAAACTCTACAAATTGTTTAGCATACGCTCCACAAGGGTATTTTGGTCCCATTAGTCCTCTAATCTTGCTAAATTAAAACTGTCTATTAAAAGCAACACATGCATATCTTTTAGCATATGCAAGATTTCTATGCTGCACCCTGCAATCTTTGGAGTGTTTGTGAACACTGTCTCCCATAAAATATCATTGAATGTCACAAAACATAATGCAGCCTACAAAACAAAATAAGCTACAGAAAATAGAACAAAGTAGAATAAGACCAATACAAGGGCAAGTTCTAGTCTTGAATTCCATACAAAAAGCACCTTTCTGAGAAAACTGTGGTTTTTAGCACCTTCATTACCAAACTCTATGCTTAGGCAGCAAAAGCTGTTTCACTAGAGGTTCACATGTAAAGAACTGGTGGGAAGGCATAGTTAACCAGCACCTATGAGCAGTAGCAGTAAACTTTCAGGCCATGACACAACGACAAAAGAAGAAACAGCAACAGCAGCTAGTACAGCACAATACACATAACATGAAAGCATTCAGTAGTGTATGGCTATTTGCCCCTCACCCACACACTTTTTTCTCTCCTCCTAAAATTTGAACTTTTTCTAAAAAGGAGTACAGTTGCAAATAGTGTCTTTTTGCCATTCCAGTCAATCCTTTGCCACCATCATGGAGCAAAACAACACGCTATCAGTCATCATGTTCATGTAAGTAACACTGCACTTGTGCTCTAAGAAGCAGGAACTCTGCCTCTAAAGGATTTCTCTTTCTTCCTAGAAAGTGTATTCATTACAGATGTATTCACCCTAGTGATCTTAGCTCAAGTTCTGCTCACACTGTACACACTATTTGCACAGGTTCTTTAGACACTGTGCAATTTGCAATGAAAGCGGGTAATACATATTGTTACGGATGTTATGGGTTTATTTACACTGAAAATGCTAGCGCTCAACCGTAACTGCCGAATCCTCATCGCTTGAGAACGTCCTACCTCTTTTTCTTTCTCGCTCTTTCAGTCCGCGTTACATTTTTCTCCGGGCAAGACGAAGCTCACCCAGCAAGTAGAAGCGATCGGTTGTTGTAGGGCTTCAATCTGGTAATGTGCACAATTTGCGTCTTACGCGAACGCTGGTTCTGAGCTGTAACTTTCGCAACAACGTAAGTGACATCACTCAAGCACTGAGTAATGACTAATGGTCCTGAGTACTTGAAAAGAAGCTTCTGGCAAATTCCCTTCTTTCGAACAGGCGTCCACAGCGAGACGAAATCACCCGTAGTGAAAGTCACAGGTGGGAATTTTGTATCGTAACAGTCTTTCGCTCGAGCGTGGGTGGAGAAAGTTCGGAGCTGAGAAAGTCGACAAGCTTCTTCGGCGCGACATTGGCGTTTTCATTCATCGAAAAAGGAAGTATGGTGTCAAGGAAACTTTGGGGATGACGAGCATTGAGGAGAAATAAAGGCGTATAACATGTGACCTCGTGTTGCACAGTATTAAAGGCGTATGTAGCAAAGGGTAATACGGCTTTGGAAGCCGTATCTGCCACGGCGTACATTGAAAGCATGTTGATGATGGTACAATTGGTACGCTCAGTGAGGCCGTTGGTCGGAGGGTGGAATGGCGTGGAATGCCGATACTGGCACCCACAAAGCCGTAGAAACTCTTCGACAACGTCAGTGGTAAACTGCCGGCCACAATCACTTATCACCGCACGAGGGGCCACGTGACGGAGTATAATCGAGTGCAGAAGAAACCATGCCCCATCAGATGATGTGGCTGAAGCAACCGCCATCGTTTCAGTATACCGCGTCAGGTAATCTACGCGCACAATAATCCAGTGGTGGCCGGTGGTAGACTTGGAGAAAAGGCCCAGTAAATCTATGCCCACTTTTTCTAATGGTGATGTCTGTGACTTAACCGGTTGCAGATGGCCGGCCAATGGCATGGTAGATTGTTTGTGGCGTTGGCAGACATCACAACTTTCGATGCAGTGCTTAGTGGTCTTCCAGAGTCTAGGTCAGTAAAAACGTTGTCGGATACCATGAAGCGTTCGGGCAAATCCAAGGTGCCCAGATGTGATGTCATCGTGCATGGCTTGGAATACTGCAAGACGCAGGCATTCTGGCACGACGAAGAGTAGTGTGGAACCATGGCTGGAGTAATTCTTGCGATATAGTAGGGCGTCATGAATCACGAATGGCGTGGCATGTTTAGAGCTACAAGCCACATTGATCATTGGTTTCAGTAAAGGGTCACGCTGCTGCTCGTGACGGAAGACGTCCAAAGTTGGGAAGTTGGAGGAGATTGCAGCCAGGTAGTTATCGAAATCATCATCATCAGCATCCACAGTAGGAGATGGAAGACGAAACAAGCTGTCGGCGTCTGCGTGACATCGACCACTCTTGTAGGTCATAGAATAATTTATCATTGAAGTCGTAAGGCCAAACAAGCCAATGGGCCAGCTGGGTCAGGTAGTCCGACAAGCCAACAAAGAGAATGATGGTCTGTGACGATCTTGAATTTCCGGCTGCACAAATAAGGTCTGAACTTTTGGACAGCGAAAACAACCACAAGACATTCCAGATCGGTAACCGTATAATTCCTCTCCGCCTTAGTCAAAGTGCGACTTGCATACGTCACGACGTGCTAGCGGTTGTAGTGATACTGAACTAGCACGGCACCAACAACGATACCACTAGTATCTGTATGCAGTTCCGTGAGTGTCTCCGGGTCGAAATAGCAGGGGCCCAGAAGTAAACAAATACTTCAGCTGCTCGAAAGCAGCCTCACATTCAACGGTCCATCGGAATGGCCCGTTTTTGTGGAGCAACTCTGTAAGAGGATGAGCAAGCTGGGCGAAGTCTTTGATAAACCGGTGAAAATAAGAACACAGGCCCACGAAGCTACCGAGATCCTTCACAGATGTTGGTTGCTTGAAGTCTCGGATAGCATCGATCTTTTGCAGGTCTGCCCATATACCGTCCCTGTCGACTAGATATCCGAGCACAAGGGCTTGACCTCAACAAAACAACACTTCTTTGCGTTTAAAACGAGACAAGCTTGTTTGACGCAATCTAGAAGAACGCTAAGCTGATGATTGTGCGTGTGGCATGTCTTGCCAAAACGAATTACATCATCGAGATAACACATACATATCTCCCATTTGAGAATCCGAAAGATGGAGTCCATGAATCGCCCGAAGGTAGCTGGGGCATTACATAAGCCAAATGGCATAACCTTATATTCAAATAACCCATCAGGCGTGACAAAAGCAGTCTTCTCTCTGTCAGACGAATGCATTGGTATTTGCCAGTATCCAGACCTTAGGTCGACGGACTGAAAGTGTGTGGTCGAGTGCAGGCAATCAACAGCATCATCGATGTGTGGTAGCGGATACACGTCTTTCTTTGTGACGGTGTTGAGACGGCGGCAGTCGACACAAAATCGCCAAGAGTTGTCTTTCTTTTTACCAGTATAACACGAGCTGCCCAGGGACTGCTTGACCCTTGAATAGCGCCTTTCTGCAGCACGTCGTTGACCTGATCGGCGATCACTTTCCTTTCTGACGGGGATACGCGATAGGGTTTCTGACGTATCAGGGTAGCATCTCCCGTGTTGATGTGATGTTGCATACGGGATTCGGTCCACATGGAACAACGCTTGTCTTGAGCGAAATCAAAGACTCCCGCGTAGCGTGTAAGCGCCTCCTCGAGGGCACCCTGCTCGAAAGAAGGCAACGACTTATTGATCACGCGTTTCATTTCAGCTGAGTAGTTGGGCGCAGTCTGACTAATGGCTGGAAACTCTGAGATCATTCTGACATCAACTGTGGCCTGCTCCTCAAATGTTCCCAGTTTAAATTTGGCTGGTAGGACAACAGGCTCTGATCCTGCGTTGAGCGCCCACAAACAAACATGTCCGTCGATGGCTGTAAGGACAGACCGTGGGACCAGCACATTCTTCTTGATGGCGTTTGCATGAATAGGCTCGACAAGTCCAGTGTAAGTTCCTGAGCGGACGTGAGAAGAGCATACGGGAACAAACATTGCTGTCCGAATAGGGATCGTCACATCTTCAGGCAACAAAAGCGCATCAATGGGCAGAGTAAAAAAAACGTCAACTATGGCAGCGGGCAACGTACTTTGTAGAAGAATCTCTCCATTTGCACAGTCAAGCGTAGCGCCACATTCATAAAGGAGGTCTATCCCTAAAATAACGTCATGAGTTGCGCGAGCCAGTACAGTAAATTCAACTCGGAAATTTTGTCCACCAATTGTGAGTACAACTCAGCGAATACCAACAGGGCATAACGCTTCGCTTCCAACTCCACGAAAAGTTTCTTTACGATCCCACGGGAACATTACTTTGTAGCCCAAGAAACAATGCTTGAAACGAAGAATTATAACTGAAATAGCAGCACCAGTTTCTACACGAGCAAGAGTGTCTACACTGTCTATGCACACACGCAGTTTGTTCATCTACATCACAGCTTTAAATCTTTCCTGTCCTCTACTCTCTTCCGTTGACTTCCGTGTTTCCTGGCGGCAAGGGTTAACCCTGTGTGGCTATCCTACCTTGGATACACCATATTCGGTTATAGTGCTGGTGTACAGCTGGCGTCTGCAGGGCCTGTGCTTACAGACCCAGCAGCATCCCCTTGTAGGACTCCATGGTGGGTGGCTGGCGCTGCTGCCGAAAATAAACCTTTTCTTATGGCTAGTTCCTTCCCCCCACTTCCTGATCGCCCTCAGAAAAGAGGGCGCACCGATGAAGTCTTCCAGTTTTTTGGTCACCAGAGAGTATCCTTTCCCCGATTCCACGTTATCCACGCTGACACATCCGGCAAACCAGTGCGAACAATTTCACCTTTTCTTGTTTCGAAGTCTTTGACAGAAATCTTTGGCCCAGGATATAAAGCTTCGAGAATGGCAAGTGGTGACCTCCTGTTGGAGCACCGCAACCAGAAACAATATGAAAAATTGTCTAATCTAGTGAAATTTGGAGATACCAAATTAATAGTAACCCCACACCGAACCATGAACACCACTCGTGGCGTTGTCTCAGATGATGACCTGTTAGAGCTGACGAAGGCTGAACTCCTGGAGGGTTTCAGCAAACAGAATGTCATCAACGTGAAATGAATTAGGATGAGGCGTGATGGCAAAGAAGTCCAGACTAAACACCTGATACTTACCTTCAATTCAAGTGTACTGCCCGACTCCGTTGAGGCTGGGTATATCAAGCTTCGAGTGAGGCCATATATACCAAACCCTCTCCGATGTTTCAAATGCCAGCGGTTCGGCCACAGTTCACAGAACTGCCGAGGCCGCCTAACTTGCGCGAAATGCAGTGCTGAAGAGCACACATCAGATGCCTGTGAAAACTCTCTTCACTGTGCGAACTGTAATGGGGAGTATGCCGCATACTCGCAGTCATGCCCGTGCTGGAAAAAGGAAAAGGAAATTGTCACAATTAAAGTAAAACAAAACATTTCATTTAAGGAGGTACGAAGGCAGGTGTCCTGCCTACCAGTAACTAACTTTGCCGAAGTGGCGCGTTGGGGGCAGCGCCACGACAGCCCCCGGCGCCTGTCTGGCACACGAGTTGTGAGTTAGCGGTGACGCCATCCACCCCCTAGGCGGTTGCAGCCAGTGCTGCTCTGCCATCCAAGAAAGACCCACCAACCTCCGGGCTGGGGGCCGCGAAGAT